TAAGAAAAGTCAGGAATGGTTGTTGACTTTTGTAAAATGCTTTCCCTGATGCCTTTGATTGGTAGTTCTAAGTCTTCCAACTGTTCTGGAAAATAATTTCTTCTCTCCAAAAGTTGGTTGTAGGGTTCTATGTCTCTCGTTTGTTAATTATGCTGTTCATATCTGTTTTAGCCCTAAGTTTTTCTCTACTAGTTCCTCTTCTGGATATGTTAAACACTCCTCCTTGCCAGTCTGTCGGGTTGTGCTTTGTGTTGGTTTTAGGTACTGGACTGAGCTCAGGAATACCCAACTCTACCTTTAAAGACCTTATCACATTAGAGGGTCCCCCCTCCTTCTTTCAGGTAGCCTAGTAAAATTGTTTAATTCTAATTCAAATCCAGCATGTCTGTGTTCACATAAAGGGAATCCTTCTTAGTTTGCTGTTTTATTACCAGAATTGGAAATTCCAGACCTGGTCTTTTCAAGTCTAATAACCTATTGTCACCAAACACAAGAGGGACAAGGGTACAGTCCCATCCTCACTGTCATCGGGTTTCAGTAGACTCTGGATTCCAAAGGTTCCACTTCTAAGCCATCAGTCCTGCCTTGTCTGAATTGTCTGGGAGGGGAGTGGATTCAGTGAGCACACTGGGGAGCTTCTGGGCGCTGACAGAAGCGTCCTGAGGACCCGGATAAGGCCTGATTTAGACAGGGGCTTCTGTCTCTCCGGCTCTTACCTCAAGAACGTGGATGATCTCCTCCACCTATGGGGTCAGTTTTTTCTGAGCTTCTGAGCCAATCTTCCTGAGGCAGCCAGTCCTCCATCCATCCTCCCACCACCCGCCTCACCGATCCTTTCATCCTTGTATCCATCCACACATCAAGCCAGCCAGCAGCAATGTCACCCAAGCCCTACAATGGATGTGACCTCAGGCAGTAGAAGCTCACTCCCTCATCTGTGAGTCTAGTAATGGCAAAGATCTCACAGGACAGTTGTGAGGGAGATGAGACAACATTTATGGAGCTCCGATACATACTAAGCCCTCTAGAACCATTGGCTCTTATCTTCATCACACACCCACGGATTCAGCTAGCATTTCTTGAGCATCTACTATGTGATGAGTCTTGGCAGAAGGGTCTAGAGAGCATCAGAAAACAGAATATCATTAAACTAAGAGCTGTGACTAACCTGCTTGGTGTGTGCTACATACAGTTGGCACAGGATGCTCTGAGAGCACAAAGGGGCATGGGAGGGGAGAATCTGGGAAGCTTTCCTAGAGAGTGACATGGCAGCTGAGTCCTGAAAATGAGCAGCAGTTCAAACAAGGATGCAAGGTATTCCCAGCTGAAAGAGAAGCACATTCTAGACCTAAAATGAACATCGGAAGTGGCGTTGGACTGATGTGTGAAGTAAAGCGAGAGATGTGTCCAGGCCTGGTGATAAGCTTAGACATCGTGCTGTGCTGAGGACCAGTGAGGGGCTCCAATGGGGGAATGAGGAGGCACAGATTTAAAGTGTGTGTGCGTGTGTGGTGGAGAGAACAGGGGGCCACCCCTGCCTACTCATCCAGTGTAGAGAGCCCCAGGGCTTCTAATACCAGTCATGCTGGGATGCTGGAGCCCTGGGAACTGCGCAGGCATCCTCAGCCCCTGCACTGCAGAGCCCTCCATCTCCTGCCCCTGCTCTGCCTCTCTTGGCTCAGGCTGGAATCCTGGTCCCTGCCTGGGGTTTGGGTCCCTTCTCCTGTTTCACCAGCCTGCTCTACCTGGGGCCTAGCAGAGCTTCTGGCCTAGAGGAGACTGTCAGGGGAGAGGCTCCAAGAACTTGAACCTGAGAAAGCTGGACTGGAACAAGAGCAGGGGAGAAGAGCTAGATGGGGTTGGGTCAGGCATGGTATGAAGATGGGGCTTCCCAGTCCCGTTCTGGCATGTACTGCCCCTTCTCCCTGGAACGTTCCTCCCCACCTCCTTTAGCATTCCACCTGGATTCTGGAGGCCTCGGTTTAGTTATCTATCACTCCTTTCAGGAGCCCTTGCTCTGCCCCCCTATGCCCAGGTCTGCATCTTTGCAGCCCTCATGGAGTGCTAATTGTCTGTTCCTGACTGTAACCCCCAGGCACCTGAGAGCTCTGAGTGCAGAGATTTTCTTATTGATCTTTGCATCTTAGAAAGTAGAATCATGCCTGGCACATGTTAGATTCTCACAACATAAACATTGATTGGATGGATGAGTGAACAGGCTCAGGATGGGTGGAAGGATGGGCGATGGGAGAATAGACAAGATGGGTGAATGGGAGTTCTGAGAGGTGCTTGAGGTAGAACGCTAGTTTCCATCTTTCTTCCATGAGGACGTTCCTTGCCAGTCCTGTTGGAGACTCTTCCCTGATATAAATCCTCCAGTCACTGCCCACTGGGCACCTCCCTCCTAGCTTCCTGTCCTTCCTGAGAAGTGTGTGAGGGGATTGGGAGGTGGAGTGCTGAGCCACAACCTTGGCTTGGGCTTTGTGATTCATGGTAAGTGACTTGTTCTTTCTGGGACTTGAATACCACACTTAGAAAATCAGGAACTCTGTATAAGATGTCCCCTTGAATTCCAAAGATCCAATTTTGGTGTAATGTTTTAAAATGCTTCACAGATACAGAATGTATTTTATATTGTTATCACACTCACACACCCACAAAATCAAATGGTGTCTAATAAAGTTTAATTCTATTATACTTTGTATTTAAAAACTATGCTCACTTCAAAAACCTTGTCTTTGAAATAAATCATCTTGGAATATTCAGTTGCTGCTTTACAGCATGCAACAGTCTTGCTAGGGAGCTCCTAGCTCCAGCATCCAAATCTCGCAACCTCAGAAGTGGCCAGGAACAACCTGGATACTTGTACATAACTGGGTGGGAATGAAAGCCATTAAGTCCTCTTGACAGCCCTGTCCCCATTCTATTTTTTTTTTTTTCTGGTACTGAATCCAGGGGGTACTCCAGCTCTGAGCTATATCCCAGTCTTTTTTTTTTTTTTTTTTTTGAGACCAAAAAAAAAAACTGAGACTAAGTCTGGCTAAGTTGTGCAGGCTGGCCTTGAACTTGTGTTCCTCCTGCTTCTACCTGCCTCATTTGCTCACAGTGTGCAGCTCCCGATTGCTTTTTTTTTTTTTTTTTTTTTTTTTAACATATCTTGCTTTGGGAAAAGCCACACAATAGAACTGACAGAACTGCAGACGTTAATCACTGACGGCACTCCCAGGCTGTTACTCAGAAGGCTAATTCTGGAGCTGGTAGAGCTAGCTTGTATGTTTGCTAGCACTGCCCTGGGCAGATGATGCCTGTGTGCTGCCCTCCAGGGAACTAGTGGAGCTGGGAAGGCAAGACAAGCAAACAGGTGCAGGGAAATGCTGCAGATGCTGACTGATGCAAGTCTGGATTTTTTTCAGAGAGCAAATGCAGTTAGGGGTGATTATGAAAAGACTGGAAGGATGGTATCAGGCCTCCTCCACCTGATAAATGTGGTGGTGGTGGTGGGGAGACCTGAGTGGATTAAGCTGCCTTCCTTAGGGGTGGGTCCCTCCTCACAGATTAGACAAGCACTTAGCAGACTTCTATGTGCACAGGGATCAACTGCAAGGTGTGCCAGAGGGCATGGCACAGTCATGGTGGGGGAGAAAGCAGAGGGAGGGAGCCCTTGCAGTGTGAGCATCAGCTCAGGTGAGGCTGGGTGCTTGCATTATGGCTGACACAGATGACACTTGGAATGTCTGCTGGAGGCTCTGTGCCCTGCATGGCCCCTCCCCACAAACTGCGCTTCTATGGCAACAATCAAGTCTCAGTTGTCTTTCCATCCTTGACCAGGCCCAGGAAATCTTGATAGAGCAGCCTTTCAGAGGCTGTCTCCTCTTCTAGGAAACGGGAGTAACGCTGGCCTTCTCTCCTGGGACCAACCTGGAGGTTGTGCATTTACTAAGATATTTCCTCTTCCACCCACCTGGGCCTGTAAGTCCCATCTCCAATCTTATCCTGACTGCAGCAAAGTGGAACTGGACATAGAAGGGGGCGGTGCAGAGGGACCAGGTTTCCTCAAGATGGGGCAACCGTCAGGACTGAGGTGAAGGGGAGACTGCAACCCCTCCGTGGGGTAGGATTGAACCCTCTCCTTCTGTAAGCCCAGAGGGCAGCTGTCCTTTCTAGTTGTTGCATAAAGACTATGCTTCATTCTGAGATCACTTCTTTTTTAAAAAAAAAAAAAATTATTTTCTTTCTTCCATGAAACAGCCGGCAATTGTTTGTGCTGATTTATAAGGAGAAATTAAGGAGCTGGAGTCCCCGGTTCTACCAGATGCTGCCTGAAGTCCAAGCACCCAGGAACTGATCCTAGGACTTCTATGGGAGCTCCAGTGTGCTTGGCCCTACCATCTGGCCTTATCTCCCTGGGGACAGTGACCTGCCTTTCTTGGCCTGCCCCTTCTGAAGATCCTTCCTTCACCACTCAAGACACACCTGTGGTCAGACTGAGTGTCTCCCTGTTAACGTTTAAACATGTTAAGCTTTAAAAAGAACAGTTCAGGTTTTCAGGTCTGAATGTTCACAGACACTAAAGTTTCATTTGAAGTTCACTAATCTTTGTTTAATCTCCCCCAAAGTCTTGCATGGACAGTCAGTTCTTTGATGTCATCCTGTGGCCTGCCTTCCCTACAGGGCACTGTCCCACCTATCTGGGCAGATGCAATCCCAGCTCCCACCCTGCTGCTGCCTTAGACGGGGAGGTGACATAGGCTGGGACCCCCACCTTGGGGGTGGGGGAGGAAAAGTCCCTTAAAATGAGAAAAGCTCGTGTTTACGGATGTGTGGCTTGACCAGGGAAGCTGCCCCTGGTCAAAGGGTTTGAGGCCGACGGTGGCCCAGCTCTCCTTGGGAATGACTGGCACGCTGGGGGAAAGGCAATTAAAACGCAACAATCAAACCAACCTTTAAATAGTAACTTTTAAAAATATAAAAACAGCTCATTACAATGACTTTTCATTTTCTTTTTTTTTTTCTTCAGGAATAACTTTCTTCTACCCTCACCCTCCCTCTGGGCTAGAGCCTTAACAAGAGGTGGCAGATGAACATCTGAGACTCAGGGAGAGAGACAGAGACTCCAGACACCCCACGTCCCCATCTCAGACAGATACAGGGTGCTGTGCCGGCTCCAAGCCACGACCTCCACGTCACGTCCGGAAGCTGCTCAGCCGCAGGAGCACCTGAAGATGGGCGGTTTTCACAGAAGCCCCTCCTCCTCCTCCTCACGAGACCAACTCACACATTATAAAATAATCCATAAAAATGCAGTATAAAAATTATCTTCCATATGCTACATCCATGGAGAGCCCACCCCCAGGACTCACACTGCCTTTAGCTTCTTCTTTTTTAAAGGAAAAAAAAAAAAAAGACCAAAACCCAACATCCTAATACCTCAGAACATTTGGTACCAAAGTTTGGTAACCAACCGCAGGAGACCATATTCTACCTGGAACCTGTGTGGGCCACAAGAGACTGAGAGCTGTTAGGAATCACCACAGTGCACCAGGACGTCTCCCTGCCCCCGGCCCTCTCTGCCCTGCCCAGGAAGGGAAGAGGGCAAGTCACCGGCTCAGACTTTATAACCCTGTAGGTTAATCTGCTTGTCCCCTCTAGGGAGAGAGGAAGGGGCTGAAGGCAGGAAGGGGGAGAAGCCATTTTATAAAAGGACATCACTTCTAATTCTTTTTATTCAAATTAAAAAAAAAAAAAAAAAGCACCCACATCCATTGCTGTTTTTCTCTGGTAGCTCCCTGAGCTGAGTTGCTATGCTTCCCTCGACCGTGGTGTCATTTCCAGGCTGTGTCCATCCATCCATCCGGAAGATTAAGAAAGGCTGGAGAGGGAGTTCCTCTGAACCTCCATTTCTCATCACAATGACCCAGTGTGCACCAAAGAGAAAGAGGGGAAGGAGAGAAAGATGGAGACAGAGGCCTGAGAGAGAGGGAGACTGGAGACAGGGCAAGAGGCAGACAGAGCGGAGGAAACCCAGCTGTCCCCTATGGACATCAACCCAGGTCGGCCAGGTCTCAGCACTGTCCTTCAGTCCGTCTGTCCATCTGGCACTCCCTCAAGGCTTGCCTAGGGTGCCAAACCCGCATGAGGCGCGTTCACCTGGTGTTAGGTGCCCCGTGGCCAGTCTGCTTGGCCGCTGCAGGTCCTTCCCCGATCCCAGGACTCTCCTCCCTATTCCAACCCCTTCTCCCTGTTACTCCCTCCCTGTCCCTTTCCCTGATGGGAACTTCTGTTTAAAAAACAAACAAAAACAAAAACAAAAAGCCACCACCACGAGTGGATCACAAATACAGCAGGCGAAATACACGGCGAGCTCCCACTGGGCAGGGGCTTCCTCCCCCACTGACCAGTCCACCACAGGAGTCTGTTATTTACAGTTTTCACAAATCTTGTGCACTGCACAATCAGGAACGAGATCCCCCTCCCCAGCACAACAATGTGGTCCACTCCATTGTCCCCCACCCAAGCAGAGAGGGGACAGGTCAAAAGAATGGGGAGGAAGAGACAGAGATTCATGAGGGTGTCTGTGGGGGAACTGGAGCCACAAGCCTCCAAATAAATCTATTTGTAGCATCTGCCAGCATTGTTAAGGGGGAGGAGGAGAAGAGAATCCATCCGAGTCTGTGAGACACATCAATCCATGCCCAGGAGTCCGGGCCATGGCGGGCACGTGCCCTCTCAGCCCGCTGGAGCACAGCCCGGAGCGCGGCTACTCGCGGCCCCTCCTCCGCCATCCTCAGGGGCCTCGACTGGGGTCTCCCTGTCAGAGCCGAGATGGTTTCTCCCAGAGTTGGACAGCCCTGTTAGAGTCCTTGTTTAGTAGATGACCTCATAAACTGTGGCCTTCTTGTCACCAGAGCCTGTTACAATATATTTGTCATCCGCTGAAATGTCACAACTCAAGACAGACGAGGATTCTTTAGACTGGAGGAGGGAGACGAGGAGAAGCAGGAAGGCGTGGGGTGTGGGGAGAAAAAAAGACAGGAATTCATTTGGAGCCCTTCAGACCATTTCAACGCTCTCTGCATGAAGTCGCCCCGCTGCACTGTCTTAGCTCCCACCCCGAGCCCAGCAGAGGGTGGGTCTGGAGGCGTGTGCAGCTAGGGGGCCTCCCACCGGCCTTGCCACTAGGAAAAGCTCATTAACAGCTCCCACGGGACTTTCAGAATATGTTCTAAGGATGGAAAACAGGACAGAGGTGAGCGCCTCCTTCAGAGTTCAGACGGGACGCTCCCTCTGAGACTTTCTGAACTGGAGCAGACGTCAGCCTGCCAGACCCTCAGCCCCACAGGCCAAGAGAAGGACTGGTACCCAGACTTTGAAGTACTCAATTTAACTAGAGACTCCGAAAGGGACATGTGTGACACATGGGATACCAGACATTTCAGCCTGGGGTCAAGAAGTGAGTGGCTTGGTGAGGAAGCTCTAGATCCCAAAGAGCCCTCTGCTTAGAAGCCCTCATCTTCAGGAGTCAGAAGCCATTAGCAACAAAATATGTGTTCCCTGTGGTCCCTAAGCCTTTTCCTCTGCAAAACCCAACCTGGGTACCTATCAGGTAGGAGCAGGAAAAGGGTCAGGAAGGTCTGCTCCTTGCTCCATGCTCTTCCTGTTCTGCCTCCCGCCATTCTCGCCTCCCGCACAGTGGGCCCAGTGGTAGTGGATCCTGACTCAGGTCAGATGGAGAGGACGTGTAGGTGGGCATACCTGGAAGATGCTGGCTCCGTAAGGTGTCCTCCAGGCATTGAGAAGGTTATCTTTCCCCGTGCTCACGAACCACTTGCCTGCAGGGGGGAGCCAAAGGAATAGTTAGGGTATGGCTTGCTGCCCTCTAAAGCAAGAGCTGCCCCAACATGGCTGGCTACCATGGAAACACCCCAAGGACCGCTAACCAGGGCTTAGTGTGACTCTCCACTCAGGAGTAGCATTTTGCAAATGAACACATGGAAACCCAAAGAACATCTCTCTCTGCCACCTGCAGGAATAGGGGGCTGGGATGGACAGGAAAAGGTAGGATTTGAGGGTAACTGTAATTTTTACACTTCTCCATTGAAAGCACTAAGGCCAACTGGCCCTCCTAAATTTACTACTGGAAGGTGGCAGAAAGTATTGGAAGGAGCAAAGCCCCAACAAACTGCAGACCCAGACGACCTCCTCCAGGTGGGCACGTGACCACGGATCCACACTAATACACTAATGCTCCCCCCAAAGCTATGTGGCAGGCACCATGCTCTCTTCTGCCTCAGAGAACCTCATTGAGGTTTAGAGCAGGTGAGGTGAGCCCTTGGTCTGATGGCTTGGGGGGGTGGGGGGGCTACCAGACGGCAAGCCTATGGCTGTAGCCACCGGCCACCGGGAGGAGCTACCTGGACTGCCTTCGTGTCTATTCCTTTGTCCCAGGCTGCTGAGGACAAGTTATGGCCTTGTCCTGAGAGCTCAGTGCCTCTGAGGAACAGGATGGAGGACAAGATCCCCAAAGGGTGTTGAAGGGACACCAACCCGGGCTGAGCTCTTTCTGTAAGTTCTGGACCACTCGGCACACATGGCTGAGCCAGGATGCTAGCCCTCCCCCAAGCCGTGTCAGGCTGGGACCCAGGCTTACCACAGTAGGCAAACTTGAGGGACAGCACGCAGCTCTCGTGCAGGTGCAGCTGGTACTTGTCGGGCTTGGTGTGGTGCAACACCTCCACGTTGCTGCTCTCCATGCCCACAGCCAGCCACTCCCCAGTGGGGCAGTAACCTAGTGAGAAGATCTGCAGGGGCATACACAGGTCAGCACCCTCTCCCTCCAAGGAGGGGGCAGTTCCCCAAGGCCCTGCTCAGGTACCCAGGGCCAGGCTCCCCACCCACCCCCGGCCATTCACAGACCAAGCCAAATGACCACCTGCCCACTGACCCAAGGGGATGGGATGTCATTTTATCTAAAGATAAAAAAAGCCAGGTTTAGAGAGGAGGCAGTGGAACCCGGGTTCAAACTCAGAGGAGCACAGACACTTCATGTCCAAGGACATCCTCTGCCCCTGAGACTTTGGTCTCTCCTTAAGATAAACATGAATAAATAAAACACTAAAGTACTAAATATTCAGGGTCAAAATATTAAAACAAGTAACAAAATAACAACAAACAGCAATGCCTGGCGCTTACTGATGCTGTCTAAGAGCCAGGCTGGTGGCCCTGGCTTTAAGGAGTATGCCAGGAGTCACACTAGGCCTTGCAGGGAACGACTATTATTTGTACCCCATGTATGAGGAAACCGGGGTCAGAGTGCTTAACAGGAGTGGAGCTGGGAGCCAAATCCCCAGGCAGGTCAAGTGTCTAGGTCCAGGGTCTTGTCCACTCTGTTTCATTGCTTTTTCCTTCAGAAAGCCTTCCCACATGGCCCAGGGTGGACCCAAGTCCCTTGGCAATGGTGACCCTGTGAGGGTCCTTTGTCCCCTGAGCCAGGCACTGGGGCCCTGGAGGGGAAGGGAGCTCTGTGGGAGGAGAGGAGCCTGGCTGCACACCTGGGAGGTGAAGTCATGCTGCTGCAGCTGCCGGCCCTCCCGCAGATCCCAGGAGCGCACGGTGTTGTCCAGGCCCCCAGTCCACAGCTTGGTGCCATCGTGGGAGATGTCTATGCAGCTGGCCCCATCTGTATGGCCCTGGAACTGCCTATGAAAGCCAAGCAGGGAGGAAGCATGAGCCCCAGGCAATCCCTGACTGGTGGCCATCCAGGGAGTCAGCCAGTTCTTCCTGTGAGCCAGCAGAGGAGGAAACTGAGGCTCAAAGGGGCAGCAACACGTGGCGTGGCATGATCCCTTGGTGAGCCAGAAGCCGAGCTGGCCAGGGCCCCCATCTCACTCAGAGGCCTTGCCCAGGACCAGGTCCTCTGTAAAAGAGAGGCAGCCAGAGGACGTGGCACAGGATCCTGAGATTGGTTCCCTCCAGGTGGGTCCTTCAGTGAGCCCACCCTACTCTGGAGGTGGTGGGACTGGAGGTCCAAAGTTCAAGAAGGCAGAAAGGCCCTGGAGAATTCTGTGAGGCGTTTCACAGAGAGAAGGCAAGCCCCCTGTCTAGGACACAGCTCCTGGGCTTGCACTCTGCATGTCTTGGGCTGTCTTGACCCACTCTCCTTGACCTTTGTGGAATACAGGCTGAGGCCACAAACGTGCCAAACAACCATGAGGAATACAGGCAGCTGGTGGGTACAGAGAGCCAACTCCAGGCCAGGCACCGCTGTCTGCCGCTGCACTGAAGTGCAACCTACACGATGCCCAGTTAACACAGGGTAAGATGACCTGCACAGGTCATCACTGCAGAGCTGAGCAGCAGTGCTCCTGAGGCCCACGTCACACCACCAAGTGAGGCTATTTCTCTGCTCTGACCTCTTCCATCCTCTTGGCTGTGTCCCTCCCAAGTTGATTCCAGCTTCACCAATTCTGCATAGCCTCCTCCAATCTCCCAGGCCCAAGCAGCCCTCTCTCCCCTGTCCCTCACAGGCCAGTCTGTCTCTCTGCCAGAGTACTCTCATCCAAACTGCCCTGGCTACCCCACTCCGCAGACAGGGCAAGGCCACAGCAGGATGCTGCACCAGGCTAGGTGGGTATAAAACCCGCAGGACGAGGCAGATGCTCCCTCCTGTGACCTCACCTGACTAGGGTCTGGTTGTGCAGGTCCCAGACGGCAATGTTCCCATCGCTGCAGCAGGAAAAGCAGACTTTTGCATCAGGGCTAATGGCCAGAGCGTAACAGGCAGGAGCGGAGGACGTCAGCTCGGCCTTGATGCGGGGTGTGGGTGAGGCCAGATCCCAGATGGTGAGTGTGCTGGCCTCTCCACCCACAATGAGTGTGCGCCCATCAGGGAGTAGCTTGCAGGAGCGAATATAGTTGTCCCTGTTCTAGAGGGAGAAGGGGCAGGGCTAAGCATTGTCCACACTTCCTTTCCTGGGCACCTCGAAAGTCACATCTAGTGACCCCTCGCCCCCTTGCCACCTAAGCTCCCAGCACCCCCTAAAACATAGCAGCTACTAGGCTGCCCCTGGGTTTTCAAATTTACATTCCATTATTCTCTCCCACTCCTTCAAATACTCCATGAGGTCAGGATCATTTCCACTTGCAAATGGCAAAACGAGGGCCCAGAGCTGCTCAGCCAATCCAGGGCTGAGCCAGGCCAGGACTGGGGCTCTCGCCTCTAGCCCAGGCTGCTCTGCTCTCTCATTCCCGCTGGAGATGTCCGCAGCCCCGGAGTGCTCACCAGGCAGTCCAGCTGGGAGATGGGGCTCTTACTGCCCGGCTGGCTGATATCCCAGATCTTCACGCAGCCTTTGCCACCCGTGTAGACGTGCCTTGTGGGGTTGCTGATGGTCACGGCACACACCACCTCCCCGTGGCTGAGTGTGTTGATCTGGCGGGCATGCCTTGGGATACCAGGGCCTGCCAGAGCATCATGGGGGAAGGGCACGGGCTGCATCTGCCCATCAGCGCTCACATGGAAAGAGTAGGCTCTGAAAAAGCAAGAAACTTCACTCTAGCCACCCATCTCTGCCTCCCAGGTCCCATCCCAGTCAGTGTGAACCACCCCTGACTGGGTGTCCTGCCCTATCTCCTGAAATCTTTAAATCCAGGAACCCTATGTGACCGGAAGGTGGGTCCACCAGGGTGGGTCTGCTTCACCTTCCAACCTTGAACTTTATTCTCACTTATATTCTCATTCCAAATTGGATCGAAAGCCCCACAGGTACCCTTTCCCAACAATTATAAAGTCCCCTGACATTCTGGTCCTAGTGGGATCCAGCTAAATGCCACCTATTTTAGGAGTCAGTGGTGGCAGGGAGGGGAATCTGCCTGCCCCTCCAAAACCAAACTGCAGGGATTCATCAGAGCCACAAGCCACAGCTGGATGACCCGCTGTTCTGGGATTCTGAGGGAGCCTTCTCAGTGGACTGCAAGATCCTCCTTGATGAGGTGAGCTCTGGGAAAGCCTAAGGCAGTATCTCTAATGTCTACTCAGCCTTTTATTTCCCAACAGCCCATGGAGGTGAGGGGCAAAGGGGAAGTGTGCCCTGTGGGGGGTGGAACACTGGAGACAGGGGAGGGATAAGTCTAGCAAGGCTGGTGGCCTTTCCCTTCCAGCAGGTAGATCCCAAAGGGGTCCCCAATACCCACAGAAGCCCCATGCCTTTGGTTAGAAGTGCGCCTTCCCTCTCAGAGCCAGAGACTGGACTCAGCACCTCTTGGTTTCCTGTTGGAGGAAGCCTCTGGGGCTGGTCACACTTGGTGGTTTCCCAGGGTCACGGGCCTAAATGCCTCTAGAGGGATCCAAACCTTTCCAAGGAAGGGGAGACAAAGCCTGGCAAACTGGTGTGCTCAGGGGATGGGAGGATGGGGTTGTGTACTCTCCCCTGTCAGCCTTGTGAGGCATGCAAGAAACATAGCCATAGCTTACGGTTTCCCTCCGGGAATGGAGGCGAGGCTTGAGGGCAGGCCTGTGGCCCGCATGGGAGGGTGAGGGTCAAAACCAACCTGCAAGAAAAGGCAAGGCAGCCGTTAGTGATGCCACCATACAGCCCCTCCCTTCTGCCCCCTACCACCCACTGGGCCCTGCCCACTCAGCTCAGCCTCTTCAGGATCAGGGCATCAGCACAGCACAGCACAGGAGGCCGGCTAGAAAGGCCAAGTGCCTTGCCCAGGACAGTGCATTCCAGACCTGACTCTGAACCAGTGCCACAAGGCACAGCCAGCTGACCCTGCCCCTCCTGCTGCCCCAGTGAGCCTGTTACTAGGATGGAAAGGAGACCACCCTAGGTATACGAAGTAAGGACAGAACTGTCCCGAAAAGGGGCCTTTCTCCACCAACCCAGATCCTAACTGATCCTCTATCATGACAGCTGTGAACAACCAGCTCCACCTCCCAAACCTGCCAGGTGGACGTCATTTCCCATCCCGCCCTGAGCCCAGGAAGCAGCTGTCAGCCCATGTCCCAGAGTGGCCAGGAGCCATGCCTGCAGGAAGGCTGCCCTGTGGGAGGTTACACGATGGGCAATGGGGATGGAACCAAACCCAGGCCAACCCCACAGTGGACCCTCTTTCCCATAAATGTTCTCCTTAGGGCAGCTGTATGATTTCCAGACCCCTGTTTCCCTTTAGCATGCAGGGAGCACCACTGCAACCTCCACCAGCTCTCTACTCCCTGCCCAGTCCCCAAAAAAGGAGCCAAAAGGTCTACGTACAGCTCCAAAGCTCACCATTGGCGATCGGCCATAGGCAGCAGCTGCAGCGGCGGCGGCGGCACTCATCTGGGGCGGGATGTTGTGGAGGCCAGCGTAGGCGCTTGGGCTGGTGAGGGAGCCGTTCATTTCGTGGTGGCTCATCATGGCAAAGGGTGTGGCATAGGAGCTGGTGATGGAGATGGGCGTGCGCAGGGCTGAGGCTACGAGAAGGTGGGTGTCAGTGGGGAGGTGGGCATCAAGGGGAGTGGGCCCCAACCACACTGTAGCCACCTCCTTGCGCAGCAGCAATCCTTCCTGCATACTGAAGCTGCCTGCTCTTGGGAGTCCTCCAGCACTGAACCCACCCACAGGGGACCCTTGACTTCAGAGCCTGAGCAAGCTCTAGCTGGGACACATCTACCTCTTTCTACACAACACGACATGGAGGCCCAGAGAAGGCTCGTTGAGAGCCTTACAAAACTAATGGCAGGGGCAGAAACAGGTCTGGGGTGCCCTAACCTACTTGATGCTCCTTCTACACATGCAGCCTAGTAGTGGCCCAGGAATCCCTGACCTGAGTGTTGAAGGCGCACCCAAGCCCTCCTCAAACCTAACTGTGAAGCCAAGGGCAGGTCCTAGGAGAACCCCAGCTTGGACACTCTTTGTGCTCTGGCCCAGACACGCGGCTCCAACCCTGGCCTGAGGCCAACCCTCCCCCCACACGATCAGATCAACCCAGCCCCATGGTGCCTACCCATTATACCTATCGGGTCCATGCCTGGAGGTTTGCCTGGCATTGAGCGGAGCCCCGGGGTTGTGCTGGTGCCTGGGGTCGGGGCATCATTCCTTGGAGTTGGTGTGTTGGACTTGAGGCCAGGCGTTGAGGATTTGTCATTCTGGGAAGGGAAGAGGTAGAGACCAAGGGAAGTCCTGAAGACCCCTCTCTCCTGAGAGCTAGCACAGCACCTAATACCATCCCCACAAGAAGCTCAGCCCCAACCCCAGTTCTGGACCCTCTGCTGAACAGAAAGACATGGTTCCATTTTACAGATGCAGCAAACAAGGCTCAAAAAGGTTCCTTGACTAGTGCAGGACCAGCCAGCAAGTGGTAGGTTCAGGCGTGGACCTGAGCAAGCCCATAGCCGGGTCCTTTCCACTCTCTCCCCTCCCCAGTCAACACCACTCCAGCTGTAGCCTCTGTGCACCCCCATTCCCCATTCCTTTCTGCCCCACCTCCTTGGAAGCACCAAGCAGACCCTACATACATGACCAAGGTCTTTGGTCTTGGAAGAAGGTGTACTGCTGGAGGAGGCCACCGAGGCGGGGCTGGTGGGGGCGTCCTTTTTCAGGCCCCGGGCCTTGTCCAGTCCATTTTCAGGAGGGGAGTGTGCCGGGCTGACCCGGGGCGTTGCTGGGTCCTAAAAACACAAGTTACACAGAAATGCTCTGAAAGCCACGCCTAGGCTAGAGTCTTCGCTCCCTAAGAATGGGCTCAGAAAGGGCATGAGTGATGGGGAGAGTCTGGCTAAGAGTCTGGGGGCCCCAAGGAGGGCCGACTAGCTATTAATTTAGTCTGACCCTTCTATGTCACCAGCAAGCAGACTGAGGCCTAGGATAGGGTGGGGGGAGTGAGCTGTCCACGATCAAACACAAGTTCAGGACTCAAATTGGTGAGGCTGGGCTTGGCATCGGGTAGCTTCTCTTCAGCAGCTGCTCTTCTGCAGAGGACTCACAACTCTCCCTCAACATGAGGATGGAGCAGAGCTGACCTGAGAGACTACAAGGAACAAGGTGGCCCTTCTCTGGGCTCTTTCAGGGTCTCTCTGGAGACCCATCACAGGAAGTTCTCAGGGTCTACGAACACCCCGCCACCATGCAGGAAAGCCCTGCCCCGCTCCTCCTGATCCACCTGATGTGCCAAGACTAGAGGCCTCACTGCTCTGCTCAGGCAACAAAACAGATGCCACTCTAAGAAGAAACAATCCTAAACCACCCCAAACCCTACAATGGGGGCCTGCCCTTACCTCGTTAGAAACATCCACCACCAGATCATCGCTCTTGTCCCCATCACTGTCCTGCAACCAAGAGAAGCCAGCAGACCAGTAAGAGACCACACCCTCCCCTCTCCAACCCAGCCTGAGCCACCCCCTGCTCTCCACCCCTGCCAAATGCCAAAGTCCTCACTGTATCTACTGTGCCCTGTGCCCGGTGCCAGCAGCATTCCAGGTCAAAGTCGGCCTTCCTCCTGGGCTCCGGGGCCTCTCTGCCGCTGTGCCCACTGGGTAGACTCCTGCCCCCGACCATACTTCCCATCCCCTCCCTACAGCCTTCCCTTTCACTCATCTCTCGGAAGCTGGAGCCTCCTTCCCAGCTGGCTTTACAGGGGCTATCACGAAACCGTGGGTGACTCTCATCTTGGTGTCCTCACCACTCTGGGGTGGGCCACTGGCCTCATTTCACAGAAATACAGCTGAGCTCCGAGTGCACAACACATCCAAAGCCGCAGAGCGGCCAAGCACTGAGGCAGGTCGCTGCGGGTCCTCCGAGGCTCAGCACGGCACTGTCCCCATGCCCATCCCAGCCCAGTCCTGCTCAGCCTGGCAATGGAAGACACGATGGCCACATTCCCACAGGGTCTCACATTATAAAGCTACCAGAAGTCACGGCTGAGAGGCTGAATGCCTGGGACAGACTGTGAGGACAGCAGGGCCAACCTGTGGGGACCATCTCTAGCAGATTCCGTGAGTACGATCAACGGCAGCACGGGAATACTGGCCCATTGATGGAGGAGCCCACCACCTCCCCAGACCCCAGGAAGGCCAGGACGACAGTCCTGTCCACTCCACTCAGTGACTCGCATGCTCACAGGGTGTATGACTTTCCCCCGCAGGCCTCCTGTCCCACCTGTAACTCTGACTCACTAACCGACCTCCAGAGGGCTCAGGCCACAGCTCAGCCACAGCCTGGGACCTGTCCTGCCCAACCAGTCCAGTGGTACCCGCTGCTCTCAGACGTACGTATCGGCTCAGGCTGTCCTTCTCCTCGGCCTTCCGCTTCTTGGCTTCCATGCTGTAGTCTGCAGAGCCTCGGTGCTTCTCGCTGGCCCTGAGGCTTTCTGAGGGTGACACTGAGTTATTCTGGAAGCAAGAAGATGATTTTGGGTCAAAGCCTTGTACCCGATCCTAACCTCTCACACAACCTCCCACACAGCTAAACGCAGGCTACACAGGAGGCCCGAGGAGGGAAAAGAGCCTCTTCCACCCTGTATCTGTGTCTCTGCTCACTCGAAGCCTAGACAGGGAGCTGAGCCCTTCCTTAACCCCGCTAGGCTCGCTTCCCTGGGAGCTGCTCTGGCCCATCCTTATTTTTTTATTTTGTTTTTGGTGGTACCCAAAATCCAAGCCCAGGGCCTCCTGCATGCCATGCCAGGTAAGCGCTCCAAGTCTGAGCCACACCCCCAGCACATCTGGGTCAGGGTCTGACTATGTTGCCTAGGCTGGCCTCAACTTTTGATCTTCCCTTCTACCTCCAGAGTAGCTGGGTAACAGATGTGCACCGCCAGGCCCAGCTCCCCGTTGACTTTTGTAGCAAGACACTACTATTAAATATTTAGTCTTTCAATATTGAGTTCTTCGCATTCTAGCCCGAGAGGCCCCTCCCTATAGGGTGAGAGTCACCTGTGTGGCTCACTACCCACCCCTCTCATGTCCGCCACATTTATTTGCCCCAAGGAAGGATGAGGGACAGCTGCCCTGAGTCTTGAAAGATGGATCTGAGGCGGCAGACAGGAATGTGACAGTACTTCATCATCATCCCACAGGAATGGGGAAATGGGTAGGAAAAGAGTGTCAGCCTATCAACAGTGTTCTTAATTGTGGACAAGCAACTGGGACCATCCTACTCCTCTCCACAGCCAGGCTGCCAGCAACCTAGAGAGACATCAGGGTCACAGACAAATAAAAACCCTAATGTTACAAAGCATCTCCCTCTGCAAGGCAGGGAACACAAAGGCAGGGAGAAATGTCCCCCTCTGTCAGAAAGCAAGGGCCCTATGAGGTTGCCAGCCTGGAAATAGCTGGAGATCTCTCTCACCTACAGAAAGAGGAAGCATGGGGACCCTTGAGCATCAAAGACTGGGGAATAGGGTAGACTGGCAGGCCGGTCTGGAAATGGAGCTGTCCTGGAAGGGGACAGGAACAACTTCTGTCTATGGCTGTCAGCATGTAGTGGGGAGCTACTGGCAAGGGCACCCGAGGCAGCAACCTTTTGAGGATCAATGTCCCTCCAGGATGCTGCTGAGGCTCACCCCTCTCCAAGAAGAGCACTATACTGTTACTCCTTCGCCTACCCAGCCAGCATTTTCAAAGCACCTGCCGTGGGTCGGGCCTGGCACTGGGTGGCAGAATGAGCAAGACCAGTCCCTGCCCTCCACGAGTTCAAGTCTAGCCAGAGGAGAGAAAAAGACTAGCTGATCCACAGCCTGAGGCAGTGAGAAATGTGTGATGGGGTCATAGCAGGACAGAGAGACATCTGTTCAGAAGAGAAGGGGCATCCAGGGCAAGTAGGAGAAGCCTCACTTCTCATCCCCTCATCGTCCTGGAGGCCAATGCTGGTGCAAGGGCAAAGGTTGCTGAGAGGGGATGGGCCGGTGTTTGGGGGCCGGTGCGGGAGCCAGCCGCAGAACTTAATTTCCGTTCCTAAGCCGGTTTCTGGGCAGCCCGTCCCTGCCAAGTTTCTGCCTGAAGCAAATTAAAATGGCAGAGTTATCAAGCCTTGAAGAAAAAATGGAGGCTATAATGGAACTGCAGCTCAACCTTCCCACAGCCGTGCAGAGCGGCGGCGATGCGCGCACAGCCGCAATTCAATTAGCTGCTGCAAGCGCCGGCAGAAAAATCACCGTCATTTCATTTCATTTCCTCCGACGGTGGCGGCCACCCCGTGCTAAGCAGAAATGCTTCCAGCCCCTCGGGCTGGCTGCCCCTCGCAGGCGGGAGGGCGGGTGGAGAGGAGGGGGGCGCGCGGCTGCTCGTGTTTCTCCCTGCGACCCGGTGCGCGGCTCGGGAGAACAGCGAGCTCTTTCTTCTCATGCAGTCAGGCTGAAAACCCTCGCCGCTACCGGAGAGTCATGTCAGGCATTTAGCGGCATCGATCCAGCCCGCCTCTGGCTGGCAGGCGGCCAAAAAACTAAGTATTTTTTATTGCTTCGGCTAGGCAAGGAAATATGAATGAAGCTACCTCTAATTGGACTCCAGACTAACCCCTCTGGGACAGTTTCCAGCCCGTCCACCCGTCCCCCTCCCGCTCTGACACAGCCCTGTCCTTCCTGCCGTAGGCCTCATCTGTTGACAACCTGGCTTCCAAAGGCTCATTACTTCAGTCTACACCCTCCGACACCATCGCCACATGCCCACAGCCCCAGTGCCCTGACTCTGAGCTGCCAGGCCTAGCCTTCCCTCCCACCTCAGCCCGGGGATGGCATCTGATCCACTCCCACTCCATTCTCCTGCAGCCTAGGTGTGCCCCCTCTGCTCTGAGAGTCTGGCCCGAGCGGAAGTCGGCAAATGCTGTGGAGTGAAGAGCTCGGGCTCCTGAGAGGTGCCTTTGGGCTTCTTCTAGCAGAAACTTTAATCAACAGGGGCGCAAAGCCAAAAGCAAATAGGAATGAGGGTGAGGAGGCAGATGAGGTGAGGACCCAAGGGTGCTAGGCTCAAACACTGTTTCCCTGCAAGAGATTACTGTTCCCCGGGAAATCTGGACTTGTTATAAGCAGTCCTTCCGATGGCACTGAGGAGCAGGCTGGAAGGCTGGCTTATTATTCCTGTGTTATGCAAAAGGAAACTGAGGCTCTGAGAGGCCATGAGTGCTACCCTATGTCTCATAAAGCTGGGACCAGAGCCAAGCCTGAATGTGTCCACTGCAGCCTTCCTTCTATCTAGGCAAACAGCTTCTTCAAAAATGCCACTGTTCGAGGATCAACAGTGAAGCAATCAAAATGGATTTTCAGCTTCAATTATTCCTTTCTTCTGTACCTAGCCATTCCCTGGCCCAAAACAGGACCTGGATTTCTGAGCACGTGGGCATGGGGAGAGAAGACAGCAGCACCCTATCTGGGTAAAGGGAGGGCTGGGGAGGGAAGATGGGTCTGATCAGAGGGAGGTGCCCGCTGAGGCTGCTGTCTAGATGGTTAGTTAACTGCCTGACCTTCCAAGTCCTACTTAACACGAGGTAATAGCCAAAGCCATCCTAACAGATTAGATGGCCCCAGATACAAGGATGGCGATGAGGAATAAAATAGCTCCACTAATCGCTGGAGGATTTTTTTTATCCAGACTCCACTGTGCTTATTCAGAAGGCTTATTCACTTGAAACAGAACCTCGGAGCCTCAGTGTGATCAGAAAGATTTACAACAAATCTCAGAGCTGGCAGACACGCAGGCGGCCTGGCCTTAATGCTTGCTTGCTAGCACTTTCTTAAACCAAGTGAAAGCTCAGAACAGGGAGAAGCCTCAGGCATTTGAAGCAGTGGAGGATTCAGGATGTGCAGGAGGCATCCAGCCTGCAGGGCGGGTAAGAACCTTGGCCGGCAAAGGGGACAACTAGGTCCTTAGCCCTGGGCTGAGGTCCAGAGGCTCCACAAAGCCCCTTGGAAGACCCAGGTTGTCAGCTGACCTGGTTTCACATGAGAGACAGAGCTGATTTAGCCAAAGCTCTTCATTTGATAAATGATGTACCAAAAGCCTGGAGAGATAAAGGACTTCCGTAACTGAATGCCACTCAACAGGTGACAGCAACTCCTACTTTAGGACAGTAACCATCCCCCCTCCACTAGGGGATGAAGGCACTGTCACCAGAACGTCAGCTGAAGCCAGGTCTCCCAGTCCTGGGCATGCATAAATCACAAACCCTCAGCTTCAACCCACAGAGCAACAGAGAATCCTGAGCCCAGGGTGGGCAATAGGTGGGTCTCGGGTGCACGGTTCTTGGACAAACCCCCAGGCCAGGAGCCCAGCAATCCCTCTTCCTCCCAGCACCCAAACACAACCTTGCAGGGTATAGAGCACTGATACTTACCGCACTGGATTCTCTCTCTTTGGGGAAGGAAGGCCAGGGCAGAAGAGTCAGGACCCCCAAGAAAAAGAACAAAAAAGAAAGTAAAAAGGTCAGTTTCCTCAGTCCTGCTGGCTGATATAAGCCCATTTCACTGGTCTTCCAAAGGGAAAAGGGCCTGGTACTCTCTAAGGGTCAGCCAAAGAAGGGTCAGTGGGCGATATATCTCAGTTTGGAAATTATCCAACCCAATTCCAGTGCCCCTCCTTAGTTCCCAGGGTGGGCCAGGGGAGGCTTTCGGCCCAGCTCTTCCTAGCATGCCATAAGGACATCAGTTTACTCTTCAACAGTCTAGGGTTCTTAAAGTCACAAGCCTGGGAAGGATCACGCTATGCAAAATACCCATGAGATCTGGGAAAAAAGAAAAGAAAGGAATACAGGAGTGGCTTTTGTCTTGTTTTTTTAATTAACACTGTCCTCTGTTTCTTTGCCAAGACGACTCTGGAAGCTGAAGCCTGATTATTTGCCTAGCTAAGCAGTAGCTCCCATTCTCCTGCCTGCTGTGGAGGCCCCTTTCCCTGGGCCAAAAGGACCATTTTACTATAGGAGACAAAAAACTTGGCTTCTAGTTCCCAGGTCATGGCCCGGGCCATGGCAAGATGGTGACACTGCAATTCCCTGGGCCCAGGAGACTCAGAAGGCATTGGCTACGTGGCTCTGTAAATATCCAAGGGCAAAGCACACAAGCTGGCCAGCTTTGTGAAGGGTCTGCCTCGGAGCCAGGCCCTTGCCTTTCCTGATCCAAGAATCCCTTCAAGCCCCAACTCAGTGTAGGTTCCTGGGTCCTCATGGTCAGGGCCTAGATGCAGGTTAGGAGAATAAGTTCTGATTCCAGTTTCCCAATCCCCTCCCTGCTGGAATGTGCTCGCTTCCTCTACTTGAGCACTGACTCTGTACCTTTCCTGAGGCTTCTGTATTGGTGAGAATATGCTCAGAAAAATATCTAGAAAGTTGGTCCCTGTTCTCAAGAAACTGGATGGTCTTGGTAAGGAGGAAATATTTTCCAGGAATAGAACATAAAAGGACAGCAACAAATGACGGTATTGGGGCCACAATTCTTAAACTTTCATGGGAATTTGAAAAAGGTCCCCAATCTGACCAGAAAGACATCTTAAGGGAACAGGGGCTGGACGAGCTCTCGAAGGACAGGGCACAGCTGCAAGCTGAATGATGAAGGGTGGGCTGCTCCAGAGGAATGGACAGACGCCTGCCAGGGCACAAGATGGACTGGGGCATGGTGCGTAGGAATGAGGTGCTGGTTTCCACACACCAGGGTGTCAACAGATTACTCCAAATCTGTCTGACTCCTAGTCCTAGAGTGACAGCACCTGCCATGTCCACACACCATGGGGTTTGCAGGCATAGGAACCCAACCCATCCCCACCCAGTTCCCAGCCCCAGCTCAAGCCGCACCTCGATGATCAAGTTCATGGTGGTTCTTCTCATCCTTCACCGACAGGTGGGCCTGGCTGCCCAGGGCGCCAAGTGCCAGCAGTCCAGAGCTGCTTCCCGTCACTGGGGGGATCCCAGGAGGCTGGAGGCCTGATGGGTGGGGCGGCAGTTGTACAGGGGGGCCATGCGTGGCATGGGAGAGGTGCTGCGCCTGGAGCTGCTGCTGCTGCAATGAAGTCAGTGGTGAGCATAGCTGAGTGGACGGGCAGGGGAGCTCGGACTACCTCTTCCCATCTCCCTCGCTCCACCATCAGGAGGTAGCAGAGGGAAAACCACCCCCAAACCTTTGCCCCCCAGTTCAGTCCACATGCTCGTATCACTAAAGGAAGTCTATAAATGGACGGCAATTTAGATAAAAGATTTTATGTCTTCAGGCACCCCACCCAGCCCCACACTGCAGTTGCAGGACAGAATTTCGCAGTCTTTGTTTCCAAGCCAGAGATAAGTAATACATGCATTTATAAACCACACAGCCACCAGGGCTCCCTCTCAGTGGAGGGGAATCTGCTTTTAAGCTCACAATTCATGCGTACATGCCTTCAACATCAGCAGCCAGAGCCTCCCACCCTGCAGCTGTATCCTAGGGGAGACTCCCTAATTCTGAAGCACTCCAAGCCTGGTCTGGAGCCAAGAGAGGGAAGGTCATAGCAGACAGCACCATGAGTAAGATGAACTTGGAGCCAGTGGAATGAGAGCTGATGTCCGGGGACATTGGCAACTAACTGTGTGGCCTTGGGCAGGTGACTTCAACTCCCTGAACCTCAAAGTTCCTCATCTGTTATATGGGGAAAGAACCACCTACTGAAGCAGAGGATCACTATAAGACAATGTGCACAGGGCTTGGGCCACAGCCCCCGACTCACTAGGCACTGGGACAGCCCCTAGCAATGGCAGAGCTCTGAATGGGCCCCCCAATGGCTCCCATTTAGTAATCCCGTCATCAACAGCAGCAATTCTCCCCACTCCCAACCCAGGACTCTGCTCCCCAGGGCACTCAGGGCTCCCTGTTCCCTTCCTCCCCCACAGCCAAGTAGACAGACAGATATGCCACATATCATTCCTAAACTGTGCCAGGAACCAAGCTACACCATGCCAATATTTCTTAGGGATGGGTGCGGCAGGGCCAGGGCATGCTGGTCTCCAGCAACACACACACCTTTCTCCTCCATTAGCACAAGAAAAGGAACCCAACACTTACTGAATGCCCAGGCACTTTCCAGACCCTACCCCCAATCATTCCAACTACCTGGCAAGGGAGGGGCTGTGCCTATTTTACAGATGACAGATGGATGCTTAGGGGGATAGAGTGGGCAGTCAGTAACTGACACAAGTCCTGCCACTGCTAAGTGGGATTTGGACTCCAATCAACCTCATCCTAAGAGTGTTGTAAGAAGGTCCTTCAAATAAGAGGAGGTGGGGAGGGGGGTCGGGGAGTGACAGAGAGCAAAGATCTCACATCAAGACTTCACTCCAGACAGGGAGCTTGCCTGTCAACATGAAATGGCTTTCTGAAAATGGCTCACACACAACAGGATATGAAGAAGGCCTACATGTGTTTGGTAGAAAGTTAACGGCCCTTGTTCTCCCTCAACTAAGCTGCAAATTGTCAGCCTGGGCTCTACCCCAAAGTTAAGGCAGCCATGGAGGTCACCATGCTCCTGGCCCCAGAAGCCACTGGTCCTAAAATGGTCTGACCCCAGGTCTACCTGAGACTTACTACAACAGGTACAGGGTTAAGGCGGCCCTTGCAGCCAGACTCACAGGGCCCATGCAGACATCAACCCTCCAAGCTAAAGAGCTCAGACTGCTCTCAAATGGGAGCCATGCCATCTTTCAGAGAAAATATGATTTTTGCATCTTATTCTAAAAATTATACATGCTCACGGAGGAAAAAAAAACTGAGTAAAAACTTGGAAGGTTTTTTTTTTTTTTTTTTTGGATTATCTTTCAATCACACCCCTAGAAGACTCTGTTACTTGTCTAGATTTTCCTTTATGATAATCTACAAATTTTAAATGTATTTCTACACAAAAATGGGCTCGTCAACCAGAATGCTAGATAATCTGATTTTAATTTAAGTGTTCCAAAGAAATCAACTTGTCCTTTTGCATGACTACTTAGTATTCCCTGGTGTGGCAGGACCATACAATCTCATCTAGATATCAAGTTACAATGAGCCCTCAGTGGGGACCCTATGGTTTTAAACTTGCTGCTGTGAGGCCCTTTAATCTGCTTGTGATGACTATTTAGTAAAATCCCAGGAAGCAAGGGTGAAGGCATTTCATCCACTTTTCACAGTGCAGAGCCGGTAAGACCCTTTAAGGAAGAAACAAGAAAGAGGAGGGGGAAGACGGCTTCAAAGTGTCTTTGCTCGCTACAGCCACTGCCAACTCCTTCCACACACCCAGTTAGTGAACACAGCCAAACTTACTGAAGGTGGGTATCCAGAGAAAGATGTAGATGAATAGTTCCAAACACCCTTTCACCTACCAGGTTAAGGCCTCCTCTCCTACTCAAACATCCAGGCTCAACTGTGCCCAGTTAAATGTCACCTCCTCTGGATGCCCTTTCTACCCTCCTAGTGGGAACAGATCTCTCCCTTCTGAGGGTTCTCAGAGCCCAGACTTGGGAGCCAGACACCCGAGGTGGACTTGCATCTCTATTCTTTATCAGCGATGAGTTCTAGGACAAATCAGTGGACCTTTCTGGGCCTCAGCTTCCTCATCTGCCAAAGAGACCCCCCCAAAGTGGAGCTCCCCTCTTCAGGCTGGACGAGAATCACACACATTGCTACATAGAAATCAAGGACGTGTTCAACCAGCCGTCAGCAAACTTGATGAAAGGATCAGACGCCACCGCTTTCTGCCATCTTTACATGTGCTTAGTACCTTTTGAACTCCAGGACAACAGGCCCTTGTCTCATCTATCTCAGAAGCTCCAACAGTGCAGGGCACATTTTCTGAGTGAATAAGTGAAACATTGGAAAAGATATAAAAGAAGAGACTGAGAAGTCAGTCAGCTCTGTCCAAAGGGGACCAATTGCCTCCCAGATCCGTGTCTCTGAGGTCCAGTGCGAGGCAGCTGGAACAGTTAGTTGGCACAGACAGCATCAGCAGGGTGTTGGGCATTCTGCTTCCTCAAATCATGACCCAGTGAACCATCACCAGAAACCTGGGACAAAAGCAGCTGGGCTTCCAAGATGGAGATAATGCCACTCTGCTTTTGCATCTCAGGGAGGAGCATTCTCTTTGCGGTGGAGGAAAGGAATCTTCTGTACAAAACTCAAAAGTTTCTTATCTTTAAAGACAAGAAAAACCTGCTCTGCAGAGCCTGTAGTCTCCTGGGGGTGGTCTGAAGGCATGGTTAGGACTGGCCCAGCAGATTCTGGGATACAGGGACAGAAGAGCCACACCACAAGGATTCTTGCTTAGGGAGAGAGCAGTTGCCATGGCTTGTCAGGCAGAGGGTTTGCCAACAATAATAATCTTGGTTGCAATACAGAATAAAATAAGTTTTCTCCCTGATGGGGTAGGCAGTGTCCAGCTGGCAGTGACCCGCCTGACTCAACATCTCTGTTACAGCCTTAGCCCTGCAGCAGGCAGCCACCCTCAGGCTGTAGTTCTATTCCCTACAACATATCCTCCAGCTTCAGAGCACAACATGCTCAAACACGGTGATGTCTGAGTGAGAGGGTGACACTGTTTTTCAACTAGAAGCCTACTCCATGGTAGAGAAATGGCATGAACTCCACAGTCTGAGCTCACCTTACCATTACTTCAATTCTGGCACTTCTCCATCCATAACACGAAGAATGTCAAGGACTCCTCTTTTCACCCGCAGCCCCAAAAGAGGGGCCAGGAGCCTGGAACCAAGCCGGCTCCTAGTGCTTCTGTCTCCCTCCTCAAATATTGCATGTCAGAACACAAACATGTCCAAATCCACATCTCTTGGGGTGTACATGGGTCCTCCGTCCTCCGCATCTGTGCCAGGCACTGTGGCCTGGGCTCAGAAGGTGTGGCACCCACAGGAGAGACGACAGGAAGACCTTGTGCGTAGCTGGGCAAATACTCCTCCTGCCGTGCACCTTTGCTAGCTGGTGCATTGCTTCGCTTCTGAGGTTTCCCATGTCAGTGAAACTTGGCGACGTTGTCTAACCACTTCATTTCCAGAGCCAAACTGGGCAAAGGCTCCCCGCCAGAGGAAGCAAAGACAGGGTCCTAATGCAAAAAATGAACACCCCTGATCCCCAGGGGCGGGAGAACATTCTCAGGCCTCTGATTGTTCTTTCACAAAGCTTGGCGGGCACACAGCACAGTTCCACACAGAATCCCACTTTCCAGTTTGGGAACAGCTTTACGAGCTCACGACAATCCTTGTTATCCCCACTTCAGAAACAGGCAACGATGGCTCCTGGGGCTGAGCAAGTCCAGAAAGCCAGCAGCGACCAGAGCCAGGACACAAACCAGCAGGACCTCCCCTAGCACAGCTGCCTGGCTGAACAAAACCGACGGTTGAGGGCACAGACGCTGCCGTGCCATTCCACTGTGCAGGATCTCACCAACCGAATCCAGCTCATCAGCATCCTTGCCACAGACGCCAGAACCTCAGGTGGGGCTTCACAGTCCTTGTGTGGTTTGTGACAAGCTATCTCCTCCCTTCCCCTCCTCCCCCCCAATTAAAATGAAACAAAAATAAACAAAAAAACAAGTCAACACTTTACAGCGTATCTCTTCTCCTGATAATTCCCCAGGGAATGCAGGTCAATCCACGTGTGGGCAACCGGGCAAAAGCCCCTCCCAGTGCAAAGGCCTTGGCCCATCACAGAATACTAAAAAGCGGGTTCTGGAAATGGTTGATAAATCAGCTCATGGGGTCATGGATCCAGCGCCCCCACAAGCTGCTGACCAAGTATCACACTTCCCACCTCATGTTGAGGATCTTATCCTTCTAAGGATCCCCTAATAATGTGGATCCCAGGAGTAGAGCATACAGGTCTTGTCAACTCAAATGGAAGAGAGACAACCTTTGGGACTGCCTTCCCAGGGGGACAGGAGCTCCCTGTGGTCCAGCAGGGCAGTGGGTGGGTTTGGCCAGCAAGCCTGGCTCCCTCCATCTGTCCTTCCTTCTCCTCTCCACACACACCACCCTGACCTGGACTCCAGCCTTTCTCAATCAGAAAGAAGATCCCAGAAAGACTCTAATCCTCCTGGTAAACATGCCATTGGCTGCAGCCATGCCCATGCTAGACGTATTTAACTGATTTCTCTTTGAGTTGAACTGACTCACAACCTCAGATTCCTTGGACTCCCTGCCCAAGAGGGCCTTGGACAACTGAAGCAGATGTGCCACGTGACACCTGCCAATCCTCCTCCTCCTCACGTGGGGAAATTGAGGCCCCAAGGAACAATATGGCTAACTCCCAGACCAGGCTGCTGGCCAGAGGCTGCTTTTCCTTCCACACTGACAAACCCTGCAGCGCCTGCCCTTCTGGCAGTCCTTGGCCCTACACCCCCGGCATGTCATGCGTCTCCTCCTCACTTTCTAGGGGCAGCTCAGCTGCAGGCTTGCTCTCCTCGATCCTCCAGGAGGAGATAAAAGACTCTCCGACTAGATTAGCCACCTCCTTGGCTGGAGTGCAGCGAAGCGCGGCTCCCGCGCGGGCATGCCTCAGCTGTCCGTAATTCCTGCCTGGTGAGGCTCTGTCAGGCACGGCGATTAGACGGCTGCCTGCTTAATGACAGGGCGACGGCTGCATTCACTCAGAGCCTGAGAAGCAATTACCTTGAAAATGGGGGTCACAGGCCCCACTCGTCCGCTTTAATTGAATTCCAATATCTGCCTCGAGCTGCCTTGACCTAACTTGTAGCTTCCTAAATACTACTTAAAGGAAGTGGAGCTAATCCAAGCAGTGCTTCTTCCCCAATTTTATCCCTTTCTTCAAATGTAAATATATATACATATATATATGTATTTTTTTTTAATAAGAGGTTTTTAATTCCCCAAAGAGAGGCAGGGGGGAGTGGGAACCCCACTATAACCACTATAGGGGGTGAAAGCACTCAGCCTGGAAACCTAAGACGATGCCTGGGGTAGGGGGGATTTGAGCAGGGAACTCAAAGTGCACGCCCCACCCTTGCACCACCACCACCACTGCAGAGCCACTAAGATAGTCCCTGGCCGATGAGGAGGACACCATGCTAGAGCTGCACCTGGCAAGTGGGAGAGCCCTGGGTCTTGGGCCTGTCTTGGCTGCTGAAGATTTCTTAAAACAAGGGCATTGGGCTAAGTCAGTGATCCTCAATCACTTTTGTCCACAGACATTAGCAAGGTCCAGGGACATTTCTGGATGTCACAGATGCATGTGGGGGGCTACTGACATCTAACACATGCAGGTCCAGGATGCTGCTGAGCATCCTACAATGCCCAGGACCACAAAAAAAAAATTACCTGCTCCTAAATTTCAATAGTGTTGAAGTAGAACAATCCTGTGCTAGATGACCACTGAAGACGCTGCTGCAAAACTTTTAAAATATCCTGCTTTCTCCTCAGGGGGTGCTGCCCAACCCTTTGCTCACCTTCCTATTTCCTCCCAGAGTCTCCCCCTAGCACTGCAGGAGTCAAAGCAGCCTAATACCTCCCTCCCCCTCCAGCAGCAGCAGCAGCTTGAATAGGTGCTCACACCAGGAGGAGAGGCCCACCAGGGTGCCTCCACCAACCATTTCAGATGGGTCGCAATGGCAGGATGGAAGAAGGGTCAGTGTCCACCCACCATCACTCTGCCAAGCTGACTCTGATCTCCCAGAAGTCCTGTAGGAGCCAGGAAAGCCCAGAGAGATGACATGTCCACCCTCTTCTTTTATAGATGCAGAACTGAAGCCCAGGAAGAGAAGAGCCTGCCCAAGGTCATGCAGGGAAGCACCATGAGTAAAACACAGGCCTCCAGTTTTCTGCCCCAGACTGAAAAGCCAGGAAGTGCCATTTATCCCACCATGCAGAAGAAAATCCCAGGGTCTCAATTCTACCTTGAAATAATGACCTCACGTAAGAACAAAAAGAAAAATAACAAAGACCAATCACTAACTCAGAAAATGCTAGGGCTAAAGGGACCTCAGCTAACCAGTCCACTGCTTCCCAAATCTGACTATGCGCCCACAAAATGGCAGGAGCACAGATTCCCAGCCCCATCCACAAATCTGTGGGACAAGTTACCCGGAATTGATGTTTCCTATAAGATCCTTGGGAAACACCAACTGAGTGGTTTGTGGGTGGGAAAGCAGTGACCCCACTACTCCCTTCATTTTAGGGACAAGTGGTTGGACAGGGATACCCCAAAGTCACTGAAAAAAACTTACTTCTCAGGTGCTTATTTTAAATATCCTTAGCCTCACACCAAAGAAACAAGTAGAAGGCGGCTCCTATCTGAATCCAAGAAATGCACAAAAAAAATGGGAGCCAAGTACAGTTACTGAAGAGGAGCACCTGGCTTCCCCTTTCCATGGAGTGGTCAGACTAGCAGGGGCCTCACGGGGCACTTTTTTGCTCCATTTGTTTTCCCCATGTCTGGGTGAATGGAACTTGAGGTCAGGAAGACCTGTCTAGGTGCCCCTGATGGAATTCACGAGGGCACATGATACTCAGCCATGCAGCTCAGCACATGGGACAGCAAGACCCAAACCAGGTTCCATAGCATAATGCACATCAATAGTACAGCAGAGACAGTTCTGACCCCAGGCGGCCAAAGAAGGGCAGACCTCTGCAGGAGGAGGCAGAAGGCCCCGGGAGAGGCATGAGGCAATGGCCAGGTACTGGTCAGTCAACTTGGCCTCAGAGATGATCCCAGGCCACTGCCCTCCTCAATGGCAGGGATACCGAAGTTAAGGGACAAGGAGGCTGGTGAGTTCAGAAGTGGACTTGAGGCATGCCTGGCATTCCTTCAGTTTGGGGCCTGGAGGGAATTGAGAGTCACAAGCAAGAGAGTCCCAAATGGATCCCACTGGGATGCTTGGGGAAGCCGGAGCCCTGGGGCCGCCATTCTTTGAGGCCAGCTAAGGTCAGGGTCCATCTCTGGTTATGGTAAATGAGAGGAATAAAAGGGCTATACACACGGTGAGAGGCAGATTGGGGAGTCCACGTACCCCGATGATGGCGTTCAGCTCTGTCATGGTGACCTGCTTGGCACGCTCCACTGCCTGAGCCACCTGCTGCTGGTGCTGGAGGGAACATAGGTGGTTAGACATGGCTGTCCTGACCAGCAAGGAGGAGGCTGGTGGGCAGAAGAGCACCAGAGGAGCCTCCTGGGACACAGCCCCGCCCCGAGACAACAGGAGACCCACTAACCAGGCCCAGGACACAGGGAAAGGGGGTGATGGGTGATTTTACTTTCTTCTTTAAAACCTTTCAAATGAGCATGTATTAACTTCTGAGCCCGTGTTAACTTCCCTTTAATGGCTTTCCGTCTTAAAATAGAGATAAGTGCCAAAACTGACTCAGTAAGCCGTGTCCCTCCACCATATACATGAAAAATTAATAAATAAAAACAAAACAAAAGCCTTTCTTTAATGCAATGTGAATATAAATTGGATATTATACAATATTACAGAATAATTATAAATTTTCTAACTATAGTGCCTACATGAGGAGGTCCCCATTTTTAGCACAGCTACAATAGTTAGTGGAGAAATGTGGGAATGTCTACGATTTACATTCGAGGATTCAGCAGAAAAGTTTATGTATGTTTACATAAGAGAGAAAACAAAGTATGCCCAGCTAGAGAGAGAAAGTCATGAAATGAACCCTAATGAACACCATGGACTTTTCTGAGTGGTGGTGATGTGTTGGTACAGATTCATGAATCCTAATAAATAAACCACTCTGTTATTGGAGACGCTATGGGAAATCTCTACTTTCCACTCAACTAAAACTGCTTTTAAAAAATAAAGTCTAGGGGCTGGGGATGTGGCTCAAGCGGTAGCGCGCTCGCCTGGCATGCGTGCGGCCCGGGTTCGATCCTCAGCACCACATACCAACAAAGATGTTGTGTCCGCCAAGAACTAAAAAATAAATATTAAAAAAAATTCTCTCTCTCTCTCTCTCTCTCTCTCTCTCCTCTCTCACTCTCTCTTTAAAAAAAAAAATAAATAAATAAAGTCTATTATTAAAAACAACAACAACAAAAAAAAACCTGTTTCTTTCATTGCCTTTGGCCTTAAGGTAGTACCAGCCACACACGCAGCCGTCTCCTCTACCAGGCTGCAAGCTCCCAGGACACTGTCGGGTCTGATTCCAATCATTTCTTGTTCACCACTTTGCCTCAGAAACCCATGTGTCCAAGAGGGAGCTGACGTGGACACGGCCACTGAGGGGGTTGGAGGATAGGGCCTACCCTTGCTGGACAGAAAGGGGCCCACCAAGGTCAGCCCATTTATCTGCCTGGCACAGCAAGGCGGTTCCTTGAAGATGTTTCCCTCGAGTAAGCCCTGTAGCCTGGCTGCTGCCTAGGGGAGTCCCTTGGAAAGTGTGCTTAGAAGGTGATGTGACTACTGGTCATGCCTCTGGTGAGGGCACTCTGCACCTAGGGGCTGAAGTCCCCTTTGAGTGTTGGTTCCCCACACAGAGTCTGCCCTTGGCACTGACTGGCCTCTCTTGCTTGCTCCTAGATGTGAGGATGGAGCACAAGAAAGCAGAGGGTGAGGATGATCTCCGAATGGGACAGAGGACCTGCTGTCCACCACAGCTGCAGCTGCAGCTCAAGACCCACCTCCCTGGCTTCAGGCAATGACAGAAGGAGCAAAGAGTCCCTCGGCTGTGGCCCCCACCCCTGGATCAGCTGAAGAAGGCTCCATAAATCCCCTGGGTGTCAGCGGGGTCCACAGGACTGAACAGGTGGAAGTCTGGACTACAGCGAGACCAGAGGGCCACTGAGCTGACTCAAGAGAACAAGAGGAAACAATAAAAGAAGGTCTCACCTCTTGTGACAGGAAGGGCATGATCTGGGCTAAAATTGTGTTCAGTCTCTTCGCAATCTCTGTCTGCAAAGGAAAAGAGACCACGTGAAGCCTCAGCAAACAAATCACATCAGCAAAATATCAGAGACAAGTGGAACTGAAAACCCCCAAACTGCGGCCCCTCTCCACAGGTTCCATCCTTTCCACCCTCCACCTCCACCTCAGGGAGCCGTCTCTTCCAACTCTCCAGCAGCCAGGCTGCCTACATCTTGGAGAGCTCCCATTTCCCGTCAGGGGTGGTCTACACAGCTGGTACCCTCTGGGTAGAATCCCTAATTAAACCAAGAGCAGTACCCTGCCCCCAGGAAAGCCCAGCTGGATGAGGAAGGAAGCGCTCTGTCCAGTGTGCCTACAGTGATGGGCCAGGCACATGGAAGCCCCTGGTAAGCAGGGAGCAAAGGGCTCCCTGGGGCTCCCCTTGCTCCCCACTGGTCACTGCTGCCTCTCCCCCACACAGACCAATCCCCTCCCATAAATGTGCAACTCAGCCTGGAACCCCAACATTAGTTTCCATAGGGCATATCTAAGAAGCTGATTTAATCAGGGATTTCACCCCCCAGAGGGTACCAGCTGTGCTCTGCATCAAACATGTAGACCACCTCATCTAAGAAGCTGCTCAGAGAGGTGACCCTCTCATTCCAGCCCCTCACACCGGCTGATGAAGAGAAGCAGATCAGCTGTCTCGTCCCCAACACCCACGACAGACCACATTTAGGAAACCATCAAGCATTCCCACCGGTCTCCTGTGTGACCCCCAGATATCAGATCACAAGTGGTGCTAAATGGTTAACTGCTTCCAGACAGGAAGGCCTAGAATCTCCACCGACAGACAACTCTCTGAATTGCTTTCCTCATCTCATTGGGAATCCAGAGCAGCCAGGGCTGAGGTCCCGGGGCCAGCTTCAAAGCTTTCATCAGCACATAGCAATCTTTCAGAGACAAAACCATGACAACAGCCTTTAAAAATCTGTGATCATCTGCATGTCAAATGATTCTGGATGAGAAATCCATGAGCACTTAAAATAAAAACAATGCCGTCTGAAGCCTAACCAACAGACCCTGGGCCTCGGTAGAGTTCCTGGGGCCAATGGCCCCCACCAACCTCCAGCACACACCCACACCCACACGCTCACACACACTAAGGAGGAGGCCTACAGGGGTTTGCAGTTTGTGGTGAGAACACGCCTTGGACTGAAGAAGCTGATGAGTTTTTGCAGGCCTGTGTCCTGGGCTGCCAGCCAGGGTGGCCGGACTCTCCAACCCAGAATGCTGCCCACAACAGCAGGGACTCCTGGGTGGGGAGAGGCATTGTTGCTGGCAGCTCTCTGCCTGGAACACTCAGATCCTCAGGAGCAGAGCCAGTGTTCCCAGCAGGCACCACTCTGGCATTTGGAGTAGAACAATTCTTTGTTATGAAGGACTGTCCCTCCAACCCCAGACCAACTGTGTCACTAATGATCCTCACTTCCAGACTCCCTGGGGTGGGAGGCAGAAGTATCATCCCAGCTAAGAATCTGCGAATTTGCCCACAGGTATTATACACTCACAAGGATACCTACCTTCTCAACCTCAGTAATGTTGATATTTGGGACCTGATAATTTTTTTGATGTGTGCACCTGTTCTGTGCATTACATGATTTTTTTGGGTGGGGATACTGGGGATTAAACTCAGGGGCACTTGACCACTGAACCATACCCCAAGACCTATTTTTGTATTTTATTTAGAGACAGGGTCTCACTGAGTTGCTTAGTGCCTCGCTGTTGCTGAGGCTGGCTGTGAACTCTGGATCCTCCTGCCTCAGCCTCCAAGCCACTGGATTACAGGCATGCGCCACCCGTGCTCAGTTGTATTGCAGGATTTTTAATAGCACCCCTGTCCTCTCTACCCAGGAGTGTCTATCACTTACTCCATCATAAAGAACCTGAGAAGTTTTCTAATTATTGTATAAATTAATCTAGAAAAAAAGAAAAACAATGCACTCCAAAACAGGGTCCTTTCTCACCTCTATTTACTTTTTCCTACCTCAAATCCACTGAGTGGGGGAATAAGGATGAGCATAATAGTCAGGATTGTATACGGTAGGAATTCTAGAAACAATCATCCAGCCTCCACCACAATCTAAACCTACATAGAGCAACAAGTTCACTCACCTGTCATGTTTATGTGCCAAATAAAAACAGAAAAATACAAAACCCAAAAACGAACCAGTCTTGTTGCTTAGGAATTTCATTGGTCCAAGCCCTCTTGCCTCAAATGAATAGGATATTAACGACTGAAACATAGTATGAATTTAATAAACGTTTGGCCAAAAAATAATATTGACAGCCTGTCTGCATTTCTTTTATGTTTATTTATTTGGTACTGGGGAGTAATCCCAGGGGTGCTTAACCACTAAGCCACATTGCCAGCCGTTTTTTAGTATTTTATTGAGAGACAGGGTCTCACTGAGTTACTTAGGGCCTTGCTAAATTGCTGAGGCTGGCTTTGAACTCACAATCCTCCTGAGACTCACCTCAGCCTCCTGAGCCGTTGAGATTACAGGCGTGCACCACTGCGCCTGTGTATTTATTTTTTGAGCCTTCAATTTGCAGAGTGATCCTCATCTTGATCTGGGTCTACCCCACTATGGGAGCATCTGTGGAGGAGCCCAGGTAGAAGGAACACTGACAAACCACAGGGAGGTGGGGAAGCCCAGGCCCTGCACAATGGAGTAAGGTAGTGCAGTAAAGCCAGACCAAGGCAAGCCACCCACAAGGGTCTCTGGCTGCTGCCCCCTCCTCACAGCCAGGAAGATGGGCAGGCTGGGAACTTTGCCAGTCACTTTGGCCTCCAACTCACAATGTCTGGGGAATCATAAAAGGGTTCCTTGTGTTGCTTATTTCCTCTGGCAAATGGGTCAAGGGTCAGGGTCTTGTGGGGGGTGTGGAGGGAGTAGCCATCTTCCCCCTTCCCCACACCTTTAACAAACATGTGGCCACACACATACTTCCCACAGGTGGGATCTTCCTGCAGGGCCTGGTCCAGAGCCCAGCCTCCTCTGGTTATGAGTAAAAGGGATCCATTGGGATTTCACACAGACATGCCCAGTTCAAGGTCTGGCACACAGGCCACCAGGTGCCCACAGAGGGATTGCTCAGAAGCCCTGTGGGCGGCCCAGGGCAAATTCCCACTTAGCAGCACCCTTTCACCTCAGCACTCACACTGTCTTTCCTGGGGCCCAAACCCAATAGAGAGGCCTTGGTGTGGCAGCAAGGCTCCAGGACAGGGGTGGGGCGTGTGAAAAGGCAAAGGTGGTTTTATATTTGGAGAACTTTAATACTCGATCAGAGCTTCTCTGACCCTGTCCTGAGTTTTTTTGTGGGATGAAGGATGGAAGGATGTGGAGAAAGCAAGCAAAGCTCATTCCTCCCCGTGGTAACTCTGCCATGTTTGCTGCTGAATATCATCCCTTGCTCCCCCTAAAACTAGCAGTACACAAAAACCCATCTCTACACAGGCTGCCCAATCTGAGAATGACCTCCACACACTCCATAAACTTTGAAGAGTCAAAGAATGAACTGGAAAACTTTACTTAAGAGTATTTTTTTGGTGTTTGAGGGAGGGGAAGCAATTGCCCAGACAGAATCACTCTAACAAAAATGACAATCACATAACGAATGATGTCCACCGAGCCAACTGTGAGAAGCTTGGGAGCTGTGATAACACTGGAAGGAAGGCACTTATTAAAATCTCCAATCTTCAGATGGGGAAACTGATGCTCAGTGATTAAGTAACTTCACTGAAGGGCTTTCTGCCAAGAAGCCAAATTTCAGAATTTGGGGAGGGCTCAGAGTGAGATTTTTGTAAGAAAAAAATGACCATCAGTGTTAATGATTGACAGCATTTCCGATTAGAACAGCTGTCCAAACAGCCTTTGATCCAACTCAAAAAACCTCTAAGATTCAGCTCCAAAAAAGAGGGGAAAAAAAGAATCAAGACACAGGACTTGAACAATGGGGACAAGTCACAAATCACAGACTGGAACCAGGCCATACGTTGGACAACTCCTTCTGGCAACTGGGCACAGCCTGTTATCAACAGGCAGCTGAGGTCCAGGAGGCTCACCTTGGTCCTTCAGTCCGTCGTGATGCCACAAGGCCACTGGCTGCGAGCCAGGTCTTCAGAAGCACCTGCAAGGTGGTGGGAGGGGAGAGGGCTTCTCTGGAACACTCTGGGAAAAGGTATTTGGGGAGGCTGATGCAGCCTTTGAAAGTTGCTTTTCAAGTGTGGTTCAAAGAGGGAGGCTTTGCTGGTGGAAAAACATAGCTCCTCAGAAGTAACTAATCTACTAGATGCAGACGCAGCAGCTGAGACAAACGGGCACAGAGGTCCCGCTACATTCAGAATCTGTGCTACCAACTGGGCGCTGGGAATAACATCTGTCCTGCGTCTCTGTCGAGATTGTTAGACAAATAAATGACAGAAAACGAGATAGTGGGGGGCAAGTGTAATTTCCCAAAGAGCAATCTGTTCCCCGCGCCGTAGTAGCTCCCATTCGCACGCTCGTCTCCTCATTAACACAGGACCTCTAAACATCTCGGTGGAAGCCGAGGAATCTAAAAGTACATCTCCCTAACCACGGCCTGCCAGCCACATTTGCTGTGACTTCAGACCATGGTGCTCCTTGACCATCAGCACTGAGGTAGAGGGACAGAGCCTGCTCTTGGCTCTCACCCCTCAGCAACCACCTGCTGCTGGGCCCATCAGCATCCAGAGTTCATCCTTGGTCATTTTGCTTCCTTAGCTGACTGTGCTCAACACAGTCAACAGCCACCCTGACAACTACTGTACCAAGAGAGCCTCTTTTTTTTTTTTCTCCTTTGTGTGTTTGCACATGTGTGTGTGTGAGCATGTGTATGTGTGCTGGGGCCTGAACCCAGGGCCTTGTGCATGCAAGGCAGGCACTCTACCAACTGAGCTGTAACCCCAGCCCTCCCCTAGTTAGTTTTAAACTGCCCAGTCATCTGCACCTGTGGACCCTGAG